TTTGATACAATGCCAAGTTTCTCTGGTGTCAATCTAGTAAATCCCACCACCGTTGTTTTGTTATTAAATAAAGTGATATTTATGCATAATGATATGAAATTTAAATGTACACGTTTACAGTTTGTAGAACACAAGAATAAATTCATTTTTGATGGACAGTTATATGCAAATAATGTAAAAAAGCTATTCTATTTTATATATGACCTTGTCATGCTTTAAGGACAGAGTATATGTGTATTTGTTATGGATTAAAGGCATGCTATATTAAGGTTTGATATGCATTAAGGGCATCACAAATGTGAGATTGTTTTCATAGCAGCTGACAGTCCCGAGATTGGCAAGACAGCTCCAGGGGTTCTGTCTCATTGACAGAGGTTTGCATCAAATACCCAACATTAGCTGCACATGCCTTGTGCAAACTGCACTTAGAGCATAGAGCCCATGGGCAAAGCACTTCAACAACCTTCTGCACATGTGTAGCCTTGTGTGAGCTGGCCAGCATGATGGGCAGTCAGCCAGGCATATATTCACAAATACAGATGTTTCCATTTGTCAGTTGAGTCATACCCTGTTTTGGGCAAGCCCTTAATCTTTGGACATCAAAATATCAATGGCAGCCCCAAAGCCTGTTTACCTCTACTCTAGTTTCATACATCCCAGTTTAAGGAGATATGTGTAATATGTTAGGGACATGGTATATAAATGCATTGAAAGCTTAATATATTTAGCTATATCATGATACCGGTCAGCTAGCTGCACTGGGACTGGTAGGGAAGGGGTTACCACTGGGATGGGCAGATAACAGGGACTGGCAGGGAAGAGGTTACTAAAGGGATGGGTGGATAACAGGGACTGGCAGGGAAGGTGTTAACAGTAGGGAGGTTGATTTACAGGGGCTCAAGGAAAAGGGGATACCAGTGGGTAGTGAGGTTGGCTGACAAGGAATGGAGGAGAAGGGGTTAACAGTGGGTAGTGAAGTTGGCTGACAAGGAATGGAGGAGAAGGGGTTAACAGTGTGTAGTGAAGTTGGCTGACAGGGGCTAGCAGGGAATTCATTACTTGCATTTCAGGGAGGGAGATGAGCACATTTAGGGTGGCTGCGAATGGTGGACAATCAAAGAAAAGAGCAAAGGGAGGAGAACAGAATAAAGATACATAAAAGCCATGAAATAAAAAGAAACTAAAGAAAAACAGAAGTGAAGGCAAAAGAGTAACAAAAACTATATTACTCGTACTGTGCTTAGCTCTAACCTTCTCGCTGCAGTGCAGTCTGTGCTGTGAGCATTCCTTACACTAGAGAAAACATGCCTCTATTTCATTGGCTGAAAAAGGTACATTTCTTTCAGAGACTGGGAATCAGCAAAACATTTTACAGCACTGCATGAAAACTACACAGAATTGAAAGAAAAGAAACTAACCATGGGTATTTGAGCTCATTAGCTTTAATTCATATTTAACTTGTTTATCTGCCTGGAGTGTCCTTTTTGGGATATAGTGGGCTTGTTATCAGACTCGGAGATTAATTTTTGTCCAAACTGCAATTTAATCTGAATTTGGGCCGATTAGATGATCAGTTGAGTTTCTGAACTCTAAGCCGAAATGTGCCCGAATCACAAACCAATGAAAATATGCAATGGTCGAGCATTTTCCTTTTGACTGGTGATTCAGAATTCCACCCCTCTTAGCAACGTTTAGAGGGAAAAAAGATGATTGATGTCTAAGAGACAGTCATTAAATGTTGATTTTATTCACAGATCAACTGAGAAGTGAGCAACAGAGCGAAAAAAGCAAGAGCAGTAAGAAAATCTATATTTACATATTTAAAAATATATATTTTATTATTTATCTTTTTTATTGAGTTTTTATCAATATAACAAATCATTATAGCAAGTTATTAACAGATTAATACATAGCGTAGCAATAAATGTAACAACATATTGCATAACAAAAGCAATGTAACAAGATTTTACATTTCAAAATAGTAATAATAGTTGTTATGACATGGTAGTGCAGTTTAAGACATTTTTACAACCTTTTTTTTTCTGACTCACAAATTGTATGAATTATAACAGAAATACAGTGTAGTTAGTACTTCCTCAATAATATCATACAAGACAGTGCAACGGTATGAATCCCTGTAAATTCAAATACTTGAAATCTTAGCACAGATTGGCATTTGTCTACCATTCATCCTGTGATCTAACTTGAGTTGTCCGAATAACTTAGTCTGTGAATCGTGTACCTCCCTAAACCTTATATTAATAGGTTAATAATAGATGAATTATAGGTGAATTATGAGTAGCTTAGAAACTATAAACCACGAATGGTAAATCGTGAGGCAGAGGCCATGAAGTATAAACTCTGAATCAGGGTTTTCAGTTGTACCTCCTGTAATATCCCATTTACTGACACCCACTGTAGTGTAACGGTGTGAAAACAAGTTGGTAACCCATTGGTGTCCGGATTTGTACTGGTTGCCTTAGGAGGCTTGGGTGCTTCCCACTGCTACATCTGCTACATCCTCCTCTATGCTGTTGAAAGTCTATTGCCTTGGCCCTGACGCATAAATTCGTTCCATGGTTCCCATATTCTAGTGTAGGCGTGGAAGTTTTTGGATATAGCGTGTGTTATTTCCTCCATTTGTTTTATCCCCTCTACTTTTTGTATCCATTCTCTAATTGATGGGATGTGGGGTGCTTTCCATTCAAGGGGAATCAATTGATTGGTTGCTGTGAGCATCTGGAAGAGTAATATCTTTCCATGTTTATTTAGGTGGGGGAGGGGGAGTAGGAACAGAAAGATATCTGGTGACAATGGGATTTGTGACCTTAGAATTCTCTGAGTTAAGGTGTGTATGTGTTCCCAAAACTTCTCTATCCTCTGGCATTGCCACCATATATGTGAAGAGTGTGCTGCAGGTTTGTTGCATCGCCAGCATTTGTCTTGGGCAGAGCTATGTATTTTGCAGATCTTGGATGGGGTATAGTGCCACCTGAAGAGACATTTGTAATTACTCTCCTGTATTGACATTGATGAGGAGGCTTTGTGAGTTTTTATAAATATTTGACGCCATTGGGCTTCAGATATATCTAGACCTTGCTCCTCTGTCCACTTCTGCGTATAGTGGGCTTGTTGGATCTGTGTATATAGTGTGGATAGTAGTTTACTTTTAAGTGGATGTGTGAGGCATAGGTTCTCATAATGTGTGAGTTCTCCCCCACCTTCAGGCAGTAACTGCGTGCTTCTGAGGAAGTGAGAGAGTTGAGCATACTGTAGTTGTTGTATCCCGGTAGGTGCGGCCCCTGGTATGACTTCTTTTAATGGCACCATAATCTGGTCTTTCACTATATTCCTTAACTGGAGATATGAGTCCCTGGAGTGATGTTTAAATAAACTCCTCGCTGTTCCCTCTGAGAGAAGTGGGTTATGAGAAAGGGGGTAGAGTGGGGAGGGGTAGGGAACGATGTTTGTGGATTGTGTTTACTGTGTCCATACTCGAAGTGTGGGCAGTATAGTTGGGTGTTTTTTCTGTTCTAGGAATGTCATACCGGATTTGTGCCACAGGAAGGTTTGGATGGGAATTTTCATGGATGATTCCTCTAAGGCTACCAACTGTTTTGTCGGTTAAGCCTTTGTCCATTTGTATATCCTAGCTAGGTGCACAGCTTTATGGTAATATCTAATTCTGGTAAACCAGTCCCTCCTATCTCTCTCCATTTGCTGAGGATGGAGTTCACCAGTCGTGGGTGGTTATTGGACCAAATGAATGAGTTTAAGATAGGTAAAGCAAGGTGAAGAATTGTCTAGGGAGTGCTATCGGGAACGTTTGGAGTGGATAAAGTATGCGTGGCAGTATGTTCATTTTTATGATGTTAATTCTGCTAAACTAGCCATAGCACGGTTTATGCCATTGTTTAAGGTCATTGGATATAGCTGTAAGCCGGGGAAGAAAATTTAATTTGTACAAGTGTTCCAACTCGGTCGGCAGGTGCGTCCCTAGGTATTTAATAGTAGTGGTTGCCCAGGAGAAATGAAAGCATTGGCAGAGTAAGTTACTTAGGTCCCTGGATGTGTACAGAGGGAGCAGTTCGCATTTAGACAAGTTTGCTTGGATGTTGGATACTTTACTATAAGTGTTCATTTCCTCCAGTATGTGCGGGATAGTGTTTAGGTCATGAACAAAAGGTCGTCCGCAAATGTGGACACCTTGTGCTCTGTTTGTCCAATTGTAAGGCCTCAAATTTGATGGTTATCCCTGATAGCTTGTAGAAAGGGTTCTAGCACCAGGATGAATAGGAGACGGGAGAGGGGGCATCCCTGCCTTGTACCGTTCATTATCAGTACCGGATCGGATAATTGTCCATTAATGCGTATTCTGGCAGTGGGTTTTGAATATATTGCTCCCAGCCATTCCAGCCAGAGTGGACCCAATCCCAGGAACTGCATTGTTGTCAACATCAGGGAACAGTTTACTATATCAAAAGCTTTCTCGGAATCTATTGCCAATAGTGAGCTTTGTAATTTATTCGTTTGTGCCCAATGCATCAGTTTGAGAATTTTGGTGGTATTGTTTTTTGCCTCCCTGACTACATGTATGAGCCGGGGAACTATCGGCTTGAGCCTGTTGGCCATTATTTTTGTCAGTATTTTTATGTCAGCGTTTATCAAATATATAGGCCTATAACTGCCACAATTCTGCGATGGTTGCCTGTAATGCAGATTTGGGGATATGGGTCGCAAGCTTGTGCGAGTTAAACGTGGTAATGAAGGGGTCGGCTAGCGTTTGTGACAACAGTTTGCAGTATTTTCCTGTAAAGGCGCCCGGGCCCGGGCTCTTGCCTAGTGGGATGCTTCTGGTGATCTGGTGGAATTCTTCTATAGATATGGGGCTGTCTAGATATGTCATCACATTGTGTGGGATTGTATTCTTTTTTGGAAGTCATGTTTTTCTGTCGGGGAGGGTGGTGTGTGTCTCAGGTTATAGAGTTGGGTGTAGAAAGTGTGAAACGCACTCAGGATTTTGGGCATTAGGTTAGTCAGTGTGCCATTTGATTGTTTTATGGTAAATAGGAATATCATTTGTCTATTTTGTTTCAGGGACTAAGCTAATAGCCTACCTCATTTGCCTCCTTGCCTATAGTAGGTTTGTTTCATGAGGAGTATATTATGTTTGGCGTGCAGTTGGAGCATCACCGTTAATTCCGTTCGCTTTGCCATCAGTGCTGTATAGTTTACTAGAGTATTCTCCCTAACATGTTTCTCTTCTAGGATTTTAATTTCCTGGGCCAATTTCCTCATATCCTTTTCCTGTTTACGTTTGAGTTTAGAGGCCATTCTAATAAATTCACATCTTTTTCTACACATTTGTGTGCCTCCCATTGCATGGCTGGTGTTGTGTCTGGGCTATCATTTTCCCTAAAATATGTTTGAACGGTCTTTCAAAGTCTCGTGAGAACTTCTGTATTATTTAGCAGTAGGTCGTTGAGTTTCCACTGAGGAGACACACTGGGCAGGGATGGTATGACCATGTCTAGGGAGAGCGGGGCATGGTCTGACCATGTAATTGACCCATATTTGGCAGTTTTAAGTAGGGGGAGTTGTCTGTGTTGGAGGAAGAGCATGTCTATATGGGAATTTAAAAAAAAAATATATATATATATATATTTTTTTTTGTTTGTTTGTTTGTTTCTCCTCTATTTCCTTCTCTTTGTTACTTTTTCAAACTTGCTCTGGATACTGCCAAATATATACATTTTTGTGCCCTTTTGGTTTAAATGATTTGGTTCTTGAACCAAATTTTCAGTACCCAAATTCTGTCAAGCAGTAACAACATTTGTCCAAAATTCGAGCTTCAGCTGAACTAAATTTGCAATGCAATAAGGTCATATTGGATTTCTGGTCATATCATGACTTTCGTTAAAGGAACACTATAGTTAAGGCCCAGATTCCCATACCATCTGCAAACAAACCTCTTCAATTGAACACTGCAACATTAAGGCCCAGATCCCCATACCATCTGCAAACAAACCTCTTCAATTGAACACTGCAACATTAAGGCCCAGATCCCCATACCATCTGCAAACAAACCTCTTCAATTGAATGCTGCAACATTAAAGGACCACTATAGGCACCCAGACCACTCTCCGTTTGCTTTTTAAGCCATCACTTCCAAATTTCCCCTGCTACCTCTTGTCTCAAATCCCCACTGTATCCTTTAGATTGTAAACTCACAGGCTATCTAGCTAAGCACTTTGTATAAAAGAGCTAAAAAGGCTAGATCTCAGCTTATGAGCAGGGCACTCTTTACCTTTTGTGTATTTGTCTGTGTATATTTTACGTCCTCCACTAATTGTACAGCGCTGCGGAATCTGATGACGCTTTTTTTAAATACCAGTAATAAAAAAAAAAAAAATAGTGTTAGGAATGCAAACATGTATTCATAATGCTATAGTGCTGTACTTCCTATTTAGACTTAGAGTCCCACCTCCACATTAAAACTGGAATTTGCATTTAGTAGTCTTTTAAGGGAATAATGTATTTAAACTTGTACTCAATAATTATCGTATTTATTTTGAGAAAGATACACTTCTGCTGTTTTTTCTGCGTGCCTTCATGTCCCTAATTTTAAAATATCATTTATCAATAACACACACTGTCATAGGTTCTTCCAAAAAGGCACCTTTAGTAAAAGTTGTATATTTTCAAGAAACTGTTTAAATTGGTTCATCTTATTAGAATGAATGAAATATAGAAAAGATGCAGATTATGTATTGGCTAGAGACTATGAGAAAACGTTATTCAGAATGCACAGATATTTTAGCATATTTTAAAGAAGCTATTATTCTTTTTCAGACAACCCGAGCATCCCCATTATTTCACTATATCAGCATTGTAATGTTCTGTGCTCGACGTCTCGAGAATATCAGTGCTGCTCTTTCATACTTAGCAAGGATCCTTTGCAAGTATTTTATCTCCATCAACGTACTTGACTTGATTAGTTGTTTCAAATGTGCTCTAATCCATCTCTATGCTTCAGTGTTTCCATGTTATTTATAAACAATGTCTTCCATTTAATTAGTACCATCCCGTCTTTGTTTTATATCCGTCCACATTCGGAAAGAGACTGATGCTGCATTAATGTAATTATTTTGCTCAATTCCTTGCAAATTGTCTGAAAATGCCTGCATTGAAATGCAAAGTAAATGGCGCCCTGAATGACTTGACAGTCACGTTATGATTTTATTTTAATCAAATTTAATTTTTTATAATCAGAATGTGGCATTTTTTATTTTAGAATAGAAAAACAACGGAGGGAAGTGTATTGTGATTTTGTCTAACATTTTAATCTGACTGCTTCAGCAAACCAAGAACATTTACTGTAATACAGATTTGCTACTGCAAAACATGTATGCGTTATTGGCAGATGGCTACTATACTAGCTTGACTTAATTTAAAAAAAAATTAAAAAATTCTATTACTTTTTGATAAAACGTTCTCCCATAAATAAAGAATTCATAGTCTAATTTCTATAAAAAATGTGAGTCAGTTATTAAAAAATAAATATAATACATGTTTATTTTCCTATCAACACATAATAATGATAACACTTTGAACATTTCATCTGTTTGAGAACTACATTTTTATTTTACTATCATCAAACATATATTGACATAGTGATTCAGGGTTCATGTTGCTACATTTACTGTACCTCGGATGTCCATAGAGTTGTTACTTAAAATACATTTCCAAAAGCTATGCTCAAAGTAATGAGCACCTCAACAGAAAGATGGAAAAGAATGTGCTGTTAATATATATATACTGTATATATATGTACGCAGTACTGGAGACCGTATCTTCAGAATGATATTGAAACTTTAGAGAGAGTTCAGAGAAGGGCTACTAGACTGGTTCATGGATTGCAGGATAAACTTACCAGGAAAGGTTAAAAGATCTTAACACGTATAGCTTGGAGGAAAGATGAGACAGGGGGGATATGATATAAACATTTTAATACATAAAGGGAATCAACACAGTAAAGGAGAAGACTATATTTAAAAGAAGGAGAACTACCACAACAAGAGGACATAGTCTTAAATTAGAGGGAAAAGGGTTTAAAAATAATATCAGGAAGTATTACTTTATTGAGAGGTTAGTGGATGCATGGAATAGCCTTCCAACTGACGTGGTAGAAGTTAACACAGTGAGGGAGTTTAAGCATGCGTGTGATAGGCATAAGGCTATCCTAGACTTAAGATAAGTCCAGGGACTAATTAAAAGTATTTTGAAATATTGGGCAGACTAGATGGGCCGAATGGTTCTTATCTGCCGTCATATTCTATGTTTCTATATATATCTATAAGCAGAATCTTTACACAATCAGCCTCAGTTATGACATCATGTAATACACCATAATGTAAAGGGTATATAAGTCCAGTCCATCAACATGAAATGTCAATGTCCATAAAAAGTAACTGAAAACAGTGACCATGGTATCTGGTGTGACCGAATCACGTAATTGTGATAATTTTAGTAATTTGGCTGGAAGGAAGACAATTCATGATTTTTAGAAAAAGCTTTCCACTGGAAATTAATGCCGCTACACGTGTTATTTACTTATTCTAACAATAAACTTACTGCCTCGTTGAATGGAATTGCGGACACTACTCCTTGTTTCTTATGGACTAGTAAGATCAGAGCCTCCAGAAGGTCCAGGACTTATTGTAGTATATTCAGGAGATGATCTGATGAGTGTTTGTTCAATGTTTGTTCCTACGGCTCCTATGGTGTTAACTCAAGGTCAATTTGCACATTGAAATGCCCACCTAAGATCAAAAAAGCACACAAAAAATTAGTTTTCATTGACTTGCTGATGTCAATTTCCAAGGGTACAATGTGAAGAATTAGCCAACTATTGCTGTAAGAAAATAACATATAGGGCAATTTTTTATGTTTTAAAAATGTTTCAGTTCTTTTAGTTATAGTTAATGCTAAAATGAATGTAATCACTATATAAACCAGAATATTATCTGGGATTTTTCTTCTTCACAGATATAAGGTACCTAAGGTTAAGTGTATATATTGAAGGACGCAATCAGTAATGTTTCCTTAGCTAGATAGTTATATTAATTTCAGACATTAAAAATCATATCAGTTTGTGAACCTCAGCACTACCAAAATAAAGAATTATAAAAAAAAAATCAAAAAAAAAAAATCATATCTTAACTAAACTATTATAATTACTTTGGAAAATAATGATTTAACTGTAGCTGATTTAGTGATGATGTTAACTTGAAAAATATATATATTTCATTTTAAAAAAAATTTATGTCTGATATTTCTTTCCATGTTTTTAAGGAATAAAATTGTAGATACATTTAAAATCTGGAAAATGAGAAGTATGACGTTAATATTTAGCAAACTTCTTCGAACTTGGTCAAGTTGAAATTTAAAATGTGCTTGACTTGGAAATATTTAATTTCGTCTTGCGCTTAATAGACAATCCATTCCCATTCTGTGCAGATTGTAATTCTTTCTGACTTTGCTATCCATTTGCCTGGAGGACAAGACAGTTTAAAACTGCTCTGCACACCACACCATGCATAACAGGTAATCTGTCTAATTAAAGCCTATAAGCATGTTCAAAGTAAAATATTGAAGAGATTCCGTAACCTCTCTTTCACCCTCCCTGCGTTCCCCTGCTTCTGAGACTCTGAGATATCCTAGCCATTAACTCAAGTGTTTACACTTTAAGATCAAATTCTACTTTGCCAGAATGCTTCATTTCACAATTTACAAGTCTGTTTTCTCATTTACAGGCACAAAGTAATTTATCAAATTTTTATATGACATTCCTCAGCTTCTTCCGATATTGAATTATCTAATAGATGCCTAGAAATTTAAAATGTGAAAACACGCTGATTTCATCAAGGGACTTAAGACTATTTATAGTCACATTCTCTTTGTGTTCATATGGTACATTTCAATAAATGTTTAATCACAATCAGCAAAAAAAGCGGTGTTTTGTTTGGCATGGGAAAGTAGCAGAGAATAAGTCCAATTTAAAATGTAGCCATTAAAATGCACTAGTAATTTTTATCTCAAACATAAAGTTCTTCTTATAAGTAGATATTTTTAATATTACAGAAAATGATGGTATTGCAAATAAATGAGAAAATAAATTGCTTTAAGAGAATTGCACATGTATACCTGATAAGCTTGCTTGCTCTATTTAAAGGGACACTCCAAGAACCACTGCAATTTTTGCTAAATACGTATGTATACTAAGGGAATGCATTTTACCCCTGAGTATAACTGAGCTGCCACTCACAGTCAGAAAAAAAGAGCAGTTGCTGATGGAATTCAGAACTTCATAAATTAAAAGGGATAATATCACTTAAGTGAATTATAGTGTTTAAAAATCATAATCCGCCTTTTAATATAACAGTCAAATCATAAATATATTTACAGAGAAGGAGTCATAAGACTTAATGGAGAGGAGTGTTGGAAAATAATACAATGAAGGAATTTAGAAGACTTAAACCATAACACCAGACTGGAATGCTAAAATAAAACCTGCCTGCATTTGAGACCAGGACTTCATTTTAGATTCCTTACTCACTTTGTTGATTGTTCTTTGTGTATTTCCAAACCCGTTATTCAACAAACCTATCATTTTCTAGAGTCCCATTGCTTCTAGTGCTCTGTCTCATTGTCTTGTATTAAAATATATATATATATATATATATATATATATATGATGCGTCCTACTGTAACAGCAAGAGGGATGACTGAACCCTGATGTGGGATCCAGATCTGTTTCGCTCCTTCCACTCAAGTAGGAATCAATCCCTTGGCTCTCTCCATCCACTCTGAAAGGAATCAATCCCTCTGGCGATTCATTTTACTCAGGTATGAACTAATCCGTCTGCCTGCACCCAACACTGTTTTTATAAAAGCACTTTTTGGATCTGAGGCCTAGCTCTTTGCCTGCAAGTTTCTGTAGCTGGTCCCAAATATCAGAGTATAAGTAAAGAAACACATCCAGACACTGTACCAAGCAGAACTTGATTATTTCTTTATTTTTAAACTAGGACTACCCTTTAACAATGCTGCATTAAACTTATTGTGATGCCTTCAAAACACTGCATAAAAGTCACCAAGCATTAAAACATATTTGTAACAATGAAATACAACAAAATATATTATTGTCACACAGAAAAACATAAGGGGGGATATATAAAATCTAAATCTCATTGCATTCTGCTTGACTTTCACAAGATATGCAAATATATGCAAATTAGAGAGGCTATGCATATAATCAAGTTTGAACCAATAGATGGTGCTTCAGCAAAGTCTATGGGCTGGGATAATTAAATTGTCAGATGTAGTGTAATCCTTAGGATTAAGGTTGATCAGGTCACACCTACATAGCTGGATGTTTATGTCTATTAAAAAAAAAAAAAATCCTAAACTGGGTAATTTCTTAAGTCTTCTTAACAAGTTAGTTTCTGCCTTGTAGAATGTGGTAAAGTTTTTATATAAGCACTGTCAACAGCTAAAAAAAGTAGGCTTTGCGCAAAGAAGCAGGTATATTGACAAGTTAGGTCATACAATGTGATATCAGAAAAACTAAACCTTGGTGTAATTAATATGAAAATAGGAGGAAGAGGTCCTATTAAAGTAAATTTTTGAAGATCAATGGGAGAAAAAAGAATACAACCAGGACCACCGTGAGACTGCAGTTACAATAGGTATGAAGAAGTGAGTGGTCAACGGTATCAAAACTGGCAGAAATGTCAAGAAGCATTACAAAGACACAAGTGACATTTGAATTTGTTATCAAATAAGTAATTTATCACTTTAGTTAGAGGTAGTTTCCATAGTGTAAAAATGGTAATTGGTGCCAGCGCTATATAGTAAATAATTATTATTATTATGATATATTAAAGACAACATAAATAAATAGCAGCTATGACACTTAATAGTATAATACACCAATGAAATAGTAACTTGAACCCAAAAAGTTCAGCGCTTACGTAAAAGGGAAAAAGTTATTGGGTTTAAGTTTCAGTAGGGTGAATACTCTTGTACCATAATCCCTTTTTTATTTTATTTTTTTAAATTCAACGTTTTTATTGGCAAGATTTTCAAGGGAATGGGATGGGGTACAGAAATAAAAAGAAGGGATGGGGTAGGGGTTTCAGGATTAACAATGATGGTGCATGATACAGCTTGATGTTGTGCATTTAATACATAATACATAGAGTGTATTGTACATGGTTCATCACCCACTGCTTGACAATTGTTATACATTGTATAGTACACATGACACAACCTGTCCTACGTTTCAGTGCTGTGTACTTTTTGTGTTTCTTTTATTTGTATATAGCGGTGTGTGACTGCTGTCGTGGACAGGCCATGGCGTCCCATGAGCCCGTCGCATGTTTAATTGCATGTTGGTTTGGGGTAGATTAGATTTGGGAGCTGTATTTCACAACAAGGATGGTGGTCTAGGTATGTCTTCTTGTGAGGTATTACTTGCACCTTATGCAGTGTGTGGAGGACAACATGCAGCGTTGTACAATGTTATACAAAGCAGCTTGCTGCTGTGATACCTTTAATGTTTAACTGTACACCTTCATGCATTAGCTCAATTTTGTGACTTCAGGCATTGGTTGCTTTCTGCTACCCCCTTACCAGATCTCCGTGTCGTTTGTGGTTTCGAGGGGGTTTGGAACAAAGTTCTCGGTTACGTGTTTAGGGCTCATTAATAAAGTGTTTTGCTGGTGGTCTTATTTGGTTTGATGGCCAAAGCCATGCAGGTAACTAAAGGGAGGAGAAGGTGTGATTTTGCATTGTTCGAGTATTGGGCCCACCGATATCAAGAAACGGAGATGGGTTTACAAGCTTCGGGTGGTAGTATATAACATGATCCCATCTTGTTCTAGTGCTGTGCCAGGTTCTTATATTATTTCTGGTTCGGAATCAGAGTCTGGAGGTGTTGGGCCTTCAGGGGTGCTACATTGGTTGGGTGAGGGGGTAGTTGTCTGTCCCAGTATGTTACCCATGGTGCCCAAAAGGTTAGGAGATGTGTCCTGTGTGCTGCCGTGCGAGTGGGTAGGCATTTGTGGGTATAGTATTGATGTATTTTGGCCATTAGGTGAGCTTTGGAGGGGCATTGCGGTAGTTTCCAATGGTTTGCTATTAGATTTCTCACCGCTAGTGCTATAATTGCCATGATGCTTTTTACGTGCTTTGGCGTGGGTTTGGGGTACGTTAAAAATAAACCTGTGTGTATGTCGAGGGGTGGTGTGGTGATGCCAATGACTTTGGCATTGTATTTTGTGCATCTTTCCATAGCGGGCGTATACGTGGACATGTCCACCAAATGTGAGTCATCGTGCCACTGTCTATCCCACATCTCCAGCAGTGTGGGGGCGGGGGGGCTGTTTTGTACATTTTGTGGAGCCTCTGGGGTGTTAGGTATCACCTGTACACTAGTTTTTTGTGTGCATCAATGTGGGAGTAGCATTGTGTGAGCCCTTTAAGTGCATTCAGAGAAGCTAGGATTTCTGTGTTGGATGTCATTAGATCGCATTCTGCCAGCCACTGTGCCACAAATGTTGGGGGTTGAGGTGGTGATATTCGTAGAAGAGTTTTGTAGCAGGAGCTAAGGGATTTGGGTTTGGTTGGGGCCTGCCAGCATCTATCATATAGAGCTTCTAGGTCTGATAGGTCAGAATTGTCGGCTGTAGTATTGTGTGCGACATGAGAGGGTATGATGCCTTTGAGTTGCATATAGAGAAACACGGAGGAGTTAGGCAGGTGAAATTCTCTTTGCAGATCTGAGAAGGGTTTGATGAGATGTAGACCGAAGACTTGATCGAGTGTGTTTATCCCTAGTTTGACCCATGAATTTAGTGAGAGCCAGGGTGAAACCGCTTTTAGAGCTGTCAGTGGGGAGCGTGGGTGGAATTTGTAGGTGGCATTTTGCTTTTGGCATGTTGTGTCCCAGTGGTGTAGGGTTAGTGTAGTAGTGGGGAAGAGTGTTTTGTGTTTGGGGCGTAGTTTCTTTGGTGTCCAGAGTATATTTATTAATAATGTGCCGGTGGGTTGGGCTGTTTCCATGTCAACCCACTGGTAAATCCCATTTGAAGTGTGTAATTTCACTGCCGCCTCCAAGTTGGCTGCTTTGTAATAGGTATATATATCTGGTAGGCCAACTCCTCCATATACTTGGTGATTCTGGAGGAAGCGTTGGGAGATTCTGGGTTTGCGCGTATCCCATATGTAGGAGGACATCACTTTTTGGAGTGATTTAAAAAACGTTGGTGGGACCCGTATATGCAGGAAAATGTACAATAGTTTAGGGAGGAGGACCATTTGGACAGGATTGATTCTGCCCATCCATGACAGTTTAACTGGTCTCCAGCGCAGGCACTCTGATTTGCAAAGTTTGAGGAACGGTTTATAGTTGTATTAGAATAATTGTTCAGTTGTGGGCGCAATTTTGACCCTGAGATAGGTGATGTAGTCTGACCTCCAGTCGAAATCGTATTTGCTTGCGAGTTCTTGAATGAAATCTTTAGGGAGAC